TGTGTGTGTGTGTGTGTGTGTGTGTGTGTGTGTGTGTGTGTCTCGGCCTCTGTGCCGAGGTTGGCTACTGCGGGCCATTCACTGTTGCAAGGGTTATCGTTTGGCAGATTCTGGCATGCAGTAGCCAACTTCAGGGCGGCGTCCAACAACGTGTGTGTGTGTGTGTGTGTGTGTGTGTGTGTGTGTGATTGTGTATGTGTCAACACATAAGATAGGGGCAACAACTGGAGTGCGAGGGTATGGCAGGCGAGAGGTGTGTGATGAGATTCGTAGAATTCTGAACACTCACCGCTACTTCATGAGCTCAATCGACCTTGGTGATTACCTGTCGGTAGAGACTGTCACCACCTGCTGGACAGGTCCATTTCGGGAGCCATTTGTGGGAGCACGTCATCCATACAGACAGACAGACAGACAGACTGTCTGTTCAACAGACAGAAAGACTGACAGTCTAACACAGGGACACACATCCAGACAGACCTACAGAGAGACAGACCGACAGACAGACTGATTGGCACACTGATAGACACACAGACAGACTGACAGACAGACTGATTGACACACTGAAAGACAGACAGACTAACTGACAGACACACGAACAGACAGACTGACAGTCAGACTGACAGACAGACAAACAGACAGACAGACAGACAGGAACACAGACAGACAGACAGACAGATAAACAGAATTACAGACAGACAGGACCCTGTGAACAGATAGACAGACAGTCAGACAGACAGACAGACAGACAGACAGACAGACATACTGACCGACCGACAGAGAGACCAGGGGGACAATGAACATACACACAACTGCCATCACGTTCAAGTTCGGATGCCACCAGGGGGACGATCATCCCCGCACCAGAAAAAGAAAGCAAGAAAGAAACAGAGGAAGAAGGCAAAAATGATATTAAAAAAAAACAAAACAAAACAAAAATGCCTTACACCACGAAGACTAATCAACCCGCCTAACACCACGAACATTTGTCCTCTCTCTCTCTCTCTCTCTCTCTCTCTCTCTCTCTCTCTCTCTCTCTCTCTCTGCACCTAATCAACCCGCCTCACACCACGAAGACTAAGCATGACAGACAGAGACAAGACAAGCGTTCCGGAAGCACACACACACACTGTCTCTCATGCAGCCTTCTTTCTTGCGCCACCCCCCCTACGATTCGGTGCCGGTGGCTTTCTCTTCTTCGCGCCTGCTTCCCGACCTTCCCTCTCAGCCTGTCTGGCATCCATCCATCGCTGCTTGTCCTCAGCTCGAGCCCTCTCTTCCAATATCCCCTGATATTTCTCCACCCAGCGAGGCTTCGTCAACCTATCCACCAGCCTCATATCCGTCACCTGGATGGTCACCCTCTTCGAGTGGATCGCCACTTCGTTTGTGGTCTCGAAGTTGGCGACCAGGTAAGCCTCCGCAGCCTCCATCAAAGCACGCACAGCCGTCATCTGGAACCTCAGGCCCTTATTAGGGGTAATGTCCTTCTCCACCACCTCGCGGACGACTCGCAAGAAGGGCCTGAAAGGGATACAAAGGTCGGTGGATCGTTGCAACTTCCTGATCTCTGTCAAAGTTGCCATCCCGGGGTGTCTGCGGCGTCTGTGGACCCGTGCAGGCGCATCTGCATTGTTACCGGTCTGTGGCACAGGCTGGGGGTTCTTCTTTTGCTTGTCACCAGTCGTCTTCCCTCTCCGCGGCCTCGACACAACCGCCTTCACCTTCCTCGGGCTGTGGGACATCGCTGTCTTGCTGGGCCCGGCCACGTCACCCTGCGCTGCAGAGCACCCTGCAACTCGCTCACCGCCACATGGGCCCTCCACCTCAGCAGACAAACCGTCCTGATGTCCCGGGCGTGTCTCCTCTGTCTGTCCCGGCCTCCGATGTCCACCTCGGGTGTCCTCGGCCACCATATACCGAATGTCTCGCAGGAGGCCATCCGAGTACGTCAGCAGAAACGGCACACCAAGCGGGTCCCTGAACCTCATCATCATCTCTCCACCTTGCTCGTATGTCATGCGACATACGGCCGGGACCCAACCAACAAGGGCGGAGCAACCATGCCTGCGGCGGATGTGAGCCATGTACCTGTTCTCGNATGTCATGCGACATACGGCCGGGACCCAACCAACAAGGGCGGAGCAACCATGCCTGCGGCGGATGTGAGCCATGTACCTGTTCTCGCCATCGCCCTGCCCTTGCCCACCAGGACTCCCCTCAACCATGGACCACATCCCCTGGTCTGGCATGGAGTCGTAACCCATGCACACCATCTGACGGTCCTCCTCCCTTATCTTCTCCCAGCACCGCTTTGCATGCTCCACAACCAGCACGTGGTCCTTCACATCTGCATTGAAAAGGGAGACACGTGCCACTACCACCAGGAACTGCCACTGCTCCACCATGCCTGCATGCATCCACCCCAAGGGCAGCCAATGGCTTGTCTGCAGTTTCGCTGCCATGGTCACCTTGCCATCAACTGTTGTCGGCTGCAGACATCCTGGGACCCAATTCACACGATATCCATACTTCTGAGGGGCCACATGCTGCTGCAACTGCCCCTCAAGGATGACATGGGCCGCAATGTCTATGGCAGCCAGAACGTCAGGGTTCAGGTTGAATGGGTCCCATACCAGCGTGGTTATTCCATCAGCAGTAGCGTCCTCCCCTCTGGCATGCGTGTATGTGTACCCATGGTCACCGGCGAACACTTTCCCCTCTGCCACCTCGAGCTCCACAGGGTTCCAAAGAGGCGGCGAAAAACAACGAGCAGCAGGGGTGTGACAAGCCATCGCCATCTTCTCCTCTTCAGTCACCTCCCTGTTCAGGTGCCTAGATGAGAAGTTGTCGTTTATATAACACGTGGTCCATACATTCCCCATGGCATCACGCATCGGCACCTTCACACGGCCACAAAGAAGCGGGGCGTCATGTGGCACCCAACCCCACCGTAGATTCCTCCTAGCATCAGTCTGTGGGCAAACCGAACTCGCTGCAGTGTCCAACCCGCCAATCACCCACGACTCTCCGCAGTCAACACTGTCATACTCAAAATCATTGAGCCTCAACTCGCCCTTCGCATCCAGAACATGCCACAGTTTCAACACATGCCGCGATTTGTCGTCAGCGCTCACCTCATCGTTCAACCTCAGCACTCTGTCGAAGATGATTGACAGAGTCACGCCCCTCCACGACGTCGCTTTGGGGGCGGGATATGGAACCCATTCCCTATTGACTTTGGACGCGAAGCACGACGCTCCTCCAACGATACCCGGTTGAAGACGACCAGGCACCCAATTGATGTCATAAGGGAAGAGAGTTCCTGCCGACGTCCTGACCACATTCTCGTCTGCAACAACACACCCTGCATCATTCTCACTGGCCTCACCATCCGTCATCATGTCTGCAGTCTGCTCACAAATTGCCGCAAGGACCACTGCACAGTCTGTGGTGTTTGCTCCGGCCRATATCCCTTCGTTGCTGACAATTGCGATACCCTTGACAATGTCCTGGG